AGGAATGCCCTGAGTAAGTAACTCCTGTTGGATGACTGCTCCTTATTTTCTCACTGTTCTCCTTCTCTTTAAAGTTCAGATCTGTTATAAAACTTTCAAGGGAGACTTTAATGTAGCCTAAGCTACCAGAAACTACCATAAGGAAAAAGTCATTTTCAGCTGGCCTGAATAAACAGCATTTTCTCTTACTTAGGGAAAAAATGAAGAATCAAAAGTGAAACTAGACATGAAATCCTATGACAAATGGTACAGCTCCCATTGACTTCAGTAGAACCATGGTACTTCAGGATGGCTCTTTACGGTGATTGAAAATAAGGTTTTAGCCATTCTCCTAATTTGTCACTTCCTCAAGGTAGTACAGGGATGTGAACCCAGAAAGTGGATGTATCAGAGTCTTGATATGGAAATACAGTGCTTAGTGATGTGTTTGTCTCTTTTGCTTATATTCTTCACTTTTTTGTGTAATATATAGAATCCAAAAAGAAAGATTCCCATTTGACTGCAATGGATATTAGGTCAGGCACTTGAGGAGGTCAGGTTCTCCTATTTCTGTGCTTTTTTTCATCAGCATTCATCATACCTATATGTACACATAAAATCTGTACTATACAGTACGAAGATCTTGCTTGGTTAACCTTTTCTTTAGAAAAATGTGCAGCTCCTGCTTTTATTATGTTCAGTGCGAATTCTCTGGCTGGTTAGTACTTTCCTGCTAACTTTGTCAAATAAGTCAATAAGAGCCAGTGGAACAGATTCTGATGTCAGAGTAAATGCAAAGTAATTGCACTAAAGCCTAGTCTAGTCCAGAAACAACTTTTCATATCAGAAATTGTGTCATACAAGCAAAGATAATGTTTCAGCATCAATATGTTTGTTCTCAGTACTCATTCCCCACAGTTACCCCACACAGGGTCAGTTTAACAAAATTAAACCTTTTCATATAACACTAGTCTTTTCAACTGTTATTATCCCCTTTTTTTTCCAAATTCCAGACTGTAAATAATGGCTTCCCAGACATCATTCAGCAAAGTCTACCGGAGCTAAACTCTTGATTCAGCCTCTGAGGCAAAGTTCTTGATGCATAACTACCCTACACTGGAGCAGAGGATTATACGAGGGGCTTTTTTTTAGGGTTTTTTTGAGTTTTGGAACATGCTGTAGGGGATGGAAAGGGTTGACTTGCTGCACTGATAATTTCTGACAGAGGATTTTGAAAGACTGGGCTAGCCAAGTACACAAGACTAGAACAAGAGAAGACAGGACCGTGAGAAATAGATGCAAGATCATGACAAAGGTTAGGAGAAAAAAAGATGAGAATAGATGGCAGCACAGCTCGTCCTATCTTTTGTCTAACCTTGCTCCTAACTCATCTCCTCTTTCTTTGGAAAGATCAGCTTTAAGAATGAAAGGAGAAGCACCCATCTACAGGGAAGAATGAGCTTGTTAATGTGAAGTACATGTACTGGGACTACTTTCTGTGTCAGCTTCTTCCTTAATTTTCATCAATTTCATCAATAATTATATGGATTAGCAATTATCTCAAAGTGTGGACTTGCTTGTCCTTTAACCTTTTCACATTTGGGGTTTCAGAGTGTAGGCAGATTGGATTGCATCCAGCCTCTCCTTTTATACCTCTTCTCCTGAAATATAGGCACAATTTTTTGCTATATTTTCTTTATGACTGATAGTCCCAACCATGGTCATCTATGGTTGCTCTCACAGCATAGATACCAGTAAAACACGCTTCAGTGTCTCTAGCCTGCTGTCACTAAAGGCAGGTACTACTTAAGCATCCTGGTTTTGTTTTTTTTTTTTAATCCCAGCCCTCCTTATTCTTCCCAGCTTTCACACTTCCAGGGTTTTCTCTTCTCTTTTTGCCTTCTAGGGCCACCTAGGACATACTTCTCCCTTTCCCTGATATTATTGTCTTTTCCCAAACTTTATAGATCTTCCTATCTTAGGTAAGGGGGAAATCAAGAAATGAGCAAGAAAGAAAGTCCAGCATCCCTTGGAGAGCAGGTACGAGAATAAAGGAAGGCCAGACTCTCTTCATAACTAACCACACACATTTTCTGCTCACAGGCAGAGAGGTTGTAAGTGGAGGATAAGCAACAAATTGTGTGACAAATCTCTTTGATCCAGTGAAATGTGTGTGCTGGGAAAGTCTTATATATACTCACAATTTTTACAGCCTGGACCGTTTGATAACTATACATTGACCAGCAGTTTTCTCTATGTTTGTTTTCATTCAATAGGGGATATTTTAATGATTCTGAGACTTGCAAGGAATGCAGTGGATCCTGTAAGACATGCATGGGAAGTGCAACCAAATGCCTGTCCTGTAAAAGTCCTTTGCTTCTGGAGCAGTGGAAATGTAAACCTACCTGTTCAGAGAAGCATTTTGCCTCTGAAGGAATCTGCAAACACTGCCCTGAAATGTGTCAGGAGTGCATTCACAATCAAACATGCAAAGGTATTATAAAGAACTGGTCTTGACTTGGCTAAAATCCATCTGGATCTGTCTAGAGGCAGACTGACAGAAACACAGATCTGAAAATAAATTCTGTAATCATCAAAAATTGAAAGAAAAGATGTATATATCATTACTAATCTCTAAGACAGAGGCTAAACAGTCAGTGCTTTATGATGAGACTCAGTTTAAACCATTAATCTGTAAAGAATTCACATTGCTTTGCCTGTTCGTGTTGTCCTTCCGAGATTCATACTGGTTTGATTCTATTTCTCACCTGGTGTATCCATGCCTAAACACTTGAATACACCTTTACACCAATGTGAAATACAGAATGTTTCTTTCCTAGTTGGGTTGAACGTTACATCTCTTTACCATTTTTGCAAATGACTACTCATGGCAGAGAATGAGATCTCTCTAATGAAACACATTAGGAAAGCCTTGGATATCCTGCTGAGTCTGAATGCCCCTACAAAAACTTCCAGGATTGTTATTTTTGAGAAAGCCATTCTGGAAACATAAATATGGATTAAAAGGAAAAATAATAATAATAATAAACAAGGCTATTAAACCAAGTATTTATAATAAAATTAGCAGCTGAATCCCAGCTCTATGCAAAGACAAACATTCAGGTCCATATATTCCAGCTAGACTCATATTTCAATGATTAACCAAACTAAACTTCAGATGTGGACATCCCTGATTTTGCAGAAAGTTCATAATGCAGGTGTAATATCTCAACAGAAATCCACCTATATTCAGTGGCAGCATGGTTCAGTTAATATCAGCAAACCTGAACAAGTGACTTGGCTTCTCAGTCTCTTGATGTAACACAGAACATGCTCTGTGAGGGCTGGGCCATTATGGGCAGTTTGAAGGGGACAGAGTTGAAAAAGAAAGCACTACTACTTTCCCAAGCTGTCCTCTTTCCTCCTATTATGACAGGTACTGCAGGATTTATGGTTTCCTAGGATTTCTTCACTCCCTTGCTTAGAGAGATCAGAATTCGCTGCCTGTTTGCTTACCTGTTGTTTGCTGTCCTCTGTAGAGTGCATGGACGAGTTCTTCCTGCACGAGGGCAAGTGTGTGCAGGACTGCCCTTCTCACTTCTACGCTGAAGACAAGCACTGCTTTCCCTGCCATAAAGACTGCAAGACTTGTGATGGGCCAGACTCGGACGACTGCACTGAGTGCACTGTCAACTTCTTTGTCCTCTACAGTGGGATGTGTTTTGAAAAATGCCCTGAAGGGACTTACTATGAAGAAGCCACTGAAGACTGTCAAGGTTGGCAGCTGTTGTTTTCCCCAGAATGGTATTGAGATGCAAGTGGGTCTGGTTAAAGACTATTCCCAAAGGGCTGGTGTGTGGCTAATGTCACTATCAGTGTTCTAGAAACAGAGGAGATATAGCTAATGCAGAAAAATAACAAGGCATAGCTTAGAACAGCAAAAATTGGAGAAAGCTGAGAGGGAGGTAGCAAAGCTAGATGTGTTCAATATTATGGGCAACCACTCTGGTAAAGTGCTGAGTATTGCTGGAAACAGTATGTTGAGAACCACTGCTCAGCAAAAGCAGTGCCAGTGCAAAAGGAAAGCTAAGGAGCTGCCTGCATGAGATTGTAAATAGTAAAATGTTTGACTATGCAGAAGCAGAGCTATTGCTCTGTTTCCCTCAGCCTCTCAATCTGAGAAGATGGCTGCCCCTTACAAAATTAAAGATGAAATAATACTCTGAAATGCAACAAGAAATTATGACATTCCTACTCTTCACCCATTTCAGCATGCAACAACACATGCCAGACTTGTTCTTCTTCCACTGCCTGCCTTACCTGCAGAAATGGCCTGATGCTGAACGATGATGGGCATTGTGTGGCGTCTGGATACTGCTCTCGCACTGAGTACTATGTTGAGAAAACTCAGACCTGCAAGCCTTGTCATAAGAAATGCTTCCACTGCTTGGGACCCACTGAACATCAGTGTCTTAGCTGTGCAAATAACCGCTATCTTCTCAGTAAGTGTCTTGCTCCTGCCTCTAGATTTTATTCTACACTGAAAGCATGAAATAGGCAAGTTTCTGTCACATTTACGAAACATATAGGGCTGCTTCACTCAATCTAAATATTGCAGAGTTGACCTGACAAGTAGGTTACTTGTGCAGAGACAATTACTTCTGTGGGGCTACCACGAAACTCTTTGCAAGATGGCTTGACACTCACTGGGGCCAAAGCAGGACTTCTACGTAGCAACAAAATCCATGGCTGAACAAAACGTATATGTTACATTTTACTTGGTATGTACTGTTCCTGTTGTTTCCTACAAGGAACTTAAAAAGGCAAGAGGGACATCCCTAGCTTTTTTTTTTTTTTTAATGTACGTACAAAGAGGTCACATTTTCATGTTGGCTTGTTTAATCCTTGCAGAGATCTGATAAGCAAAAAAATACTTAAGCAGAGCTGTTAAAAAGTTATTCATGGATCACTAGGTCAGTATCTAGTGGATGGCTGAGGTGCAAAATTACTTCTCTGACTTTGTAGCAAAACACTGTATTGTCTCAGAAACAAATTGATTAAAAGTATAAAATCCCAGAACTTATACTTTACTTGTTTGCATATTCTTTAAAGAGCATACAAGAATTTTAGAAAATCATTGGGAGAAAAAATATTTAAATGATCTTTCATCAGGAAAAATCTAAAGAGAGTTTGATTTAAAGGTGAATCTGAGCTTTTTGAGTCTTATTCTGACATAAATTTTGCATTCTTAAATATCTGAAGTCTTGCACCAGACTTGTCTTTTTTATCAACACACTCAGCAGCTTTGTGCCATTATAATTGGTAAAGTTGATGGAAATATGTAAATAAACCTCCTAGAGTGGAGAAAGAATTGCAAGAAAAATAGAAGTAAGGGGAATTTGCGCAGTTGCAACCCAAGCAGCAAAACTACAAAGACAAGCTAGATAATGAGTACAAGCTAGTAAGAGTAATCACTGCTCTTTTAGCTTGATGCACTTGTAGTTGGTTGCATCAGTCCTCACTTCTCATTCAAGATTCCTATTCTAATTACCCTCTGAAATCTCAGTGAAAAGGCACGATGTACCTGGTAAATTTGGCAGCCTTACAGGCAGTTATTCCCATTACATAGAGCAGCAGTCACAGACAGGGATAAAGACCAGTGAACAAATATCTCAAATTTACCATCAGATTTGTCGTATACACAGAATACAATGAGGTTGATGCTTAGAGTGAAACCTAAGGAAAATGACAATGCAGATGATAGAAAGTTTCCTAATTACTATTTCTTCTTTTGTACATTCTGAAAAACACAGCTGTGGTTCATTATTATGTGTTATGCATTTATATTTCCCAAAAATAAAAATTTACCTGTTCTGACAAGGCTGCTAATGTACATAAAATGCAGAAATGAGGACTAATGAACTGATAAGATTTAGAAGAAACAAAAAATAATGACTATATCCCAACATTCTCTTCTCTTGTTCTAGTGCATACTCTAGCAGCACCTCCTGTTAGAGAGTTTGCTCTAACACAGCTGTATGAGATGTTTTATAGCAGCAAATACTGAATATGACATGTTATTCTGCATTCTTGTCTGTGCAGATACAACCTGTGTTGAAACATGCCCAGATGGGTATTATGTTGACAGCGATGAGGGACAATGTTCCACATGCCACAGCGCCTGTGTCACTTGCACTGGAAAACACAGCTCACAGTGCCTTTCCTGCAAACCGGGCTGGTACAGACAAGGAAAAGGATGTGTAAACCAGTGTCCAGCAGGGTAAGGTCCAAGCTCTTTAGCCAAGAGCTGCATGACAGAGCGAGCTTTGAGAAATTAGATCACTCTGCCCTATTCTACTTCAGAGTGAAATAGAACTGAATACTATTTTCAGGTGAAAACTTCTTATGTGGTCCCAGTACAGAGCTGGTGGAAAACCTCCCCTCACAGAAGAAAACCGTAAAGTTGGTGCCCAAATTGGGACCAGCTTGACGTGCTGTGGCCATTCTTACACTCCAATGATGTTCTTAGGTTATGTTTATACAGAACAGTGTGAAGCAGAATAAATGTACTGTTATCTGTTAGTCAGCTTCAGCATAGGAAGCAGTGTAACTTCCTTCAAGCACCCTTGCAGCCTCCATTTACCCCGAAGTTTGATGAGGTTACTTTTGTTTTGCATTGAGTGAAAGTTTACAATGGATCGTAATAAAACCAACCATTAAAACACCTCTCAACTGATAATTCTAGACAGCAACTTTATTAATATGAGTCCATTTAATTTCAAATTAATTCAGTATGAATTCAGTGTGCTTGTGAATATGTCTCAGAAATTCAAATTTGGGAAATGGACCTGTGATTTCTGGTTCAGGTCCATTTCATTTTGCAGTACAGTAAGATCACACTGGCTGTTAAATTGAGTTATCATCTCATTAAATTTGAAGTCTGTAATGACAACTTCTCAACAAAACCACAGTGCAGCAATTCTTCTTTTTAACTGACAGAACAACTTAGGAGAACACTGTTCCTCTGCTGGTATCCTTTGGCTAAGCCTGTTTGTGCACTGAAAGGAAATATGAAATTTCTGAATTTACATCTGACAGCAGGTCATCAGAAACAGCGAGGAATTCAGTGTTTACCCAACATCTCCAGGATATCTCTTGCAGAGCCAAAACAGAGTTGAGGTTTTCTGAGCCCTGTCTACTTATATACTTACTTTGTGTCTGAATTCACCCTAGATTTTAGAAAGCCTTGCTTTATATACCCTCGATTTCCAAAGTCTTGCTTTATAGCTGAATTCTAATGGCCAAGGGGGATTAAAGGAAAGTAATTCTATTTTCACTGAGATTGCAAATGTTTACTGTGATCATATCAATATCACTTTTATACATTTATGTAATCACAGTAAAAGCTAAGGATGAAGGATGTTTTGGGTTTCCTGTTGCTGCTGCGCTTTATGCAAAGCCATGACTATCTGGTTTGTTTCAGGTATTTTGCACAAAATTCCACTGGATCATGTGAGAGATGCCACAAGGGTTGTAAGGAGTGTATGGGGCCTCAACCCACGGACTGCCTTTTCTGTGATACATATTTCTACCTGTTGCGCTCCAAGAACAAATGCGTTAGCTCTTGTCCTGAGTACTACTACGAAAACAAGGACAACAACGTCTGTGAGAGATGCCACCCTTCCTGCCAAACTTGTGAAGGTAAAAGCGTACTTTCCACTTTGACCAAAAAAAGAGTTATCAAAACACCTGCCAAGGATTATCAAAACACTTGCCATCTCTCTTTTTTTTTTTCTTTTTTTTTTTTTTTGGAAACACTTCACAAAGAGACATACCACATACAGTGCTACCAACCTGTCCCTGCCCTAAGTAGTTGCAGTGGGTGATGTAGAACTCCTCTGCGGCTGCCGGGCTCTCCCTGCCCCTGGGTGACTTGCTGTGCTGGCTCCTTCATGCTGCCCCCTTACTTTTAGAGTATCGATTGATGGAGATGGAGGCGAGGATATGAATTGCTGCCAAGCTCCCCTCAGGGCTGCCTCCAGCCACAGAGAGCAAGCGTAAAGGCAGCTCTGAGGGGAGGGCTGGGAGTGAGTCCTGGTGCCACGTCAGCAAAGGGAAAGAAACAGACAATAGTAATGTATTTTCCATCAGTCAGGCCTATCACAAAAATGCTCATTGACTTCAAAAACAAAAGGGCTCTGTTGGTTACAGAGCTGGACCCTATTTCTCACACAAACTCTGAATAATGACTGAATAGTATCTCACTCTTTGAGCTGTCCTACTATATATTACTCTGTGAAAGCCATGGAACCTAAATCCGACCACACATCTTTACAGTCTGCAAAGAAGGGAAGAGTAGAAACAGCCATAAAGCACATCTTTAGGATGAAAATAAAAAAAAAAAGAAAAGATGTCTGCTGCCTTCAATACAGTTAAGTACTTTTCAAAGTTAACTTGAGATACCATCTGTTTTGCTCTGTGACACACTTACGTAATTCAGTTTATTCTTTTTCTAATTCATCCAATTCTGAAGCAAGCAGCATTAATCCCCTCGGACACATGTGGTGTCCTTTTCTAGCTGAATGACATCAAATGATAGCTAACAGGTGCTGTTCTGCAGCTTAGACCACATGATATTGTAACATACAAAATTTGTTTTGGATAGTGGATATACTGGATAGCACAGATGGCTAATTGCAACATAACAATATTTAAAATTGTGGAAATAACTGTTAGAGTGAAGCCAACTTCAAGAACTATTAAAATGTAATTGTATAAAAACATTATAACAAGTAACAGAAATATTTTGGCTTGGATTTGGGACAAAAAGACACCCATTTTAACTTACAGACTACTTTCATTATTTGGGATAAATACTACAGGACAGATTTTCTATCATAATTACGGAGACACTAAGATGAAACGCAAGCCAGTCCTTCTAAAGAGCAAACCTGTATGTGTTCTGAAATGAATCTGCATTGCTGATGTACAAGCAAATAAGTGTTGTAGTGTCTCCTGTTTCTCAAGAGCAGGAAGGCAAACCCTGCACTGCTCAGAAAAATCCAATAGTAAATTCACGGAGTTATAGAAGGTTGCTGACTTCAGCTGGTTAACTGCTGCTAATGTGAGCTACTTGCATTTCCATTTTCTTCCTTTCAGACACTGGCAGAAAATGCCTAGTTGCAGGGAAATGGAAAGGTACATCTTAACACATAGGACAAACCCTTCACTTCAACGTTTCGCAGAAATACTGCATGCAGCATCTCTGAAAAGTCTCCAACACAAAGTGCATATGATGTTCTGCAGCTAGTGAAGAATTTTTTTCCTATGCAACTAAAGAATTTATTTTGCTATTCAAACATAAACATATTTTAATTCATTGTGATTTGAAAATGGTTAGCAGGCCTAATAAGTATTGATTTTGTGAAGGAGAGCATTTGGTCAAGATTCCCCACAATTTTACTTCAGTGCTCTGACTTAATTGATTTTCCCAAATGTGTCAGAGCTTCCCTGTCCAACTGATTCCCAAATTAGCTTTTCGTGAATATCAAAACACATAAGAAACACACTTTGTGAACTCATAAAACCTCAAGACTAGGCCCAAGCTCTTTCTAATACTAACCTCCTCATGCTGAACTCACTGCATGATTCTTGCTGTTGACAAATACCCTTTCCTTTGGTGGCAGTGGTCAGTATAAATTTTAAAGAAGTTAGATGATTTTTCCTGTTGTAATATTGTTGTTTTATTTGTCTTTCTAGGGAAGGGGGCATTCAGCTGCACATCCTGTGTATGGAGTCACAGTTTATTAGGTGCAATGTGCAACTCAGACTGCTTTGTAGGTGAATACAAAGTCCAGGAGACACCAGGACAAGAGGTACCTATTTGTAGGCATTTGCTCCTGTGAATTGTATGCTGAACTTTAACTTCTGAAGACAATACAAACTACACAAACTGCTCTTCTCTGAGTTTTCAAGGCTGCTTATCTTTAAATATGCTTATTTTTTTCTTCTCTTGGTAGAGGAAGTATTGTTTCTCTTTCTGGAGTTGTCTACTATAGAGTAATCCTCTACCAGTAAATATAAAGGCACAATTTTTGTCAATGATGATATCAAAGTCATGTGAACAAAATCAGCTATATTAGCAATATAGTATTTTTTCTTCCAGTATAACTGAGATTTACCTACAGAATTCTGCTTCTTTGCCCATACGAAATGACATCACATTCCTGATTGATTGACAGCTCTGCTGGCAGAAACCTCTGGTGGAGGGACAGGCGGACGTTAACAGATCTGCGTATTTAGGAGACTAGGACCACAATTAGGTTTGGGTCAGTGCCAGAAGTCTGGGCACTCCAGCTTCCAGATTTTCACACCAACTGCCTTGCAAAGATGTTTATTCAATAATATAGCAGCAAGGCAAGGCAGCTGGCCTGAGATGTTGCATACCCTGGAGTCTCTGGCCTGGAATATCCCCTTAGCAGTGCTGCTCCATAACAGTGAGCCTGAGAAAACAGCCTAAGAGCTGGGGACCACACAGGTCCACAGTTCTTTGAAACAACTTTGACTCTGAGAAACTGAACCTCCTGCTGTGACCCTCTCATCTTGCCCAGGTTCTTCAATTCAGGACAAGCAGCCTTGCAGGTCTGACAGCAAGTTTGATGAAAGGTTATCGGAATTTCCAGATCCTTACTGTGGATATGAGGTCCTGGTCCCATGGCAGAAAATTAGCAATTATTTCCCAATAGGCCAGGAATTGTGACCACTGGAAGCTCTGAAATACCTGAGCTCAGAGCATACTGCAAGGTAGATGTGACCTTGATGATCTCTGGTAGTCTTTGTACACAGAGGCTCCAGGAGCCTGTCTGGAATCTGAGAAGTGTATTTGAATCTAAGTTGTTTCTGTAAAACAGAACCAACACAACCTAATAAAAATCTGGTTTGCTAGAAAATTTCCAGCCACCTTTATTTCTGTTCCTTCCCAAGTTAGAAAGGAAATTTATTCTCAGCTGCTTCTTCTTTTTTTATTTTTTTTTCCAGCATATTTCATGTTGCTGCTCCCATGTCAGTTACTTTTGATGATACTCTCGAGTACACTTCTTGAAGGCCACTTTATCATCGTTACTGCCAAAGAACCATAGGTCTGCTAGCATGGGACTAGCAAAACAAAAACACACTTTCTGGCCAAAGAGCTAACAGTCTGAATGAATTTTATCTTTCTGTCTAGCTAGGTGAGAACTCTAAGCTCCTACAATACTTTCCCCCCTGTCCCTACAAGCAGATCACTGAGAAACCAGGAAATATGACCCAAATTTTAGTTTTCCTACTCCCTACTGTATTTTGCCATTGACACCCACAGTGCCCAGAGATGACCACCCAGACAGGGAATGGCAGGACAGAACTGCCAGGTCAGGTCCAAAGAATCCAAAATGAATGGTGTGTTGCTTGTGTTCTGCATCTGAAGGAGGATGAGCCCAAGTGTGAGAGATGTGACAGCTCATGCACCGAGTGCAAGGGACCTGGGCCCCTCAACTGCACAGTCTGTCCAGCCAGCATGCAGCTCTACCTGGAGGAAAGCCGCTGCCTGCCCTGCTGCAGTGACTCTGACCTGGCAGGCACCCCAGAGTGCTGTGACTGCAGTGAAACACAAGGTGGGACCACGCTGAAGAGCAGCTAACGGTGCTGAAGGGCTCTATGGCTAGCCTGACATTTAAAAATCAAAAGAGGAATTGAGCAAAAAGGTGCTGCTGAGCTGTGCATCACCAGAATAGTAAGGGCTTTACACAAATAACAACCATCTGACCGATGTGGGAGACAGCACCTTCTTTCACTCACAGCTATTGTGTTAAATGGCCAGGCATTGCATGAACCAGGTGACTGGGAAGTGCTTGTTTCAATGGATAGCCATCTGAATCATTGCATTTTAAGCATGTCAAAATGTGTTGGTGTGCTTGTTAGCTTTTCTGCTTCTTTCTGATCATTTTCGATCTAATAAAGAAGCATAGCTACCCATCCCAGCAATCTTGCTTACATTCTTATACCATCACAGCTATAAGAACAGAGTTGTGGTAGTGGAAGAGTAACGTATATAGTCAAATGCATTTAAAAATGTAAGCAGGCCTAAACCTTGTACTCAGAGTTTTAAGACATCTACCCCCCCACCAAGCACATGCACACACGCTCATTTAATCTTTTTTTTTTTTTTTTTTTTAACTGCTGTTGTAGATGACTGTGTGTTACGGACCACTCTACCACCAGAGAGCAAAAGCAAAACTACTTTCTTTGTTATTACCTGCATTTTGCTTCTCCTTGTCATTGGAGCCATTGTATTCATCTGGAGAAAATCACGAGCCAAAGCCCAGGCTGTCAGCAAAGGTGGGTACGAGAAGCTGACAAATCACTCCAGAACCTTTCCTTCCTACGTGAGCAACTACCACGAGACTCCCAGTTACCAGGAAGATCAAGTGATTGAGTATAGAGACAGAGATAATGAAGATGATGATGAAGAAGATGACATTGTATATATGGGCCAGGATGGCACAGTGTATCGCAAATTTAAATATGGACTTTTGGAGGATGACGAGGAAGATGAGCTTGAATACGATGATGAAAGTTATTCATTTAGATAACTCTTTACTAATTTATTAATTTCCTGCTCTGCTGTTTTTCCTATTAAATTACAGAAATTTAGTTAAGTACTTCTTAGCATGCAGAGCTCAAGATTTCAGCTAATAGTTATTGTGAGACCAGAATGGTTTCTAAAAATATTTTTTCCTAAAGCTTTACATAAATCCTTGCTAGGCTTTTAAGTAGCACTCCAGATGCAGGCCGGTTAAGAGATTATGTTTCTGTGCATTTGTGTGGAGAGTAAATCCTTTCCCAATATGTATTTGTGTGCATTATAACTAATATAAACTCTGCTTCAAACCATGCACACACACTTACTGAGAACCTTGCCAATCATTACTACAAATGTGCAGATACAAACAAGATGGTTGTATTTATCTACCTGATGAATGCCACTGGGATAGGGTACCAGTAATTTCCTACTTTGTGATTATAGTTTCTCAGCAATTCATAATAGAATAGGCAAGTTTGCTGACTTTACTCGTATTTTTTTTGTTGGTATCCTCTGGTGAATCTGTGTTCCTTGAAGACAACACATTCCTCCTCATAATCTTATAGTATACTTCCCAGTGAAATTGTGCATCTATGACACAGTGTTTTAAGATTTCTGACTGTGACTCTACTCCAGGTAACTATATTGTATTGAAAGTTTGTATGAAACATAACTAAAATATTTTATATATCAACCTCTGATTAATCTTTACTGTGGTGTTAGTCAAATAATCTTTCGTTGTACACACAAACTCCGGGGTTTATTGCAAAGGGAAATATGGTCTATAGGCACACCCACAAGTCTTTTTAACTACCTTCTCAGTGATTTCAACACAGAACATTTATTGAAGTAGCTTTACCATTTCTGTTGTAAATGGTTCAGGATGTTCAGACAATGGCAAAGGGAATAATAAGCACTTATTTGGTAACATAATTTAAAGGAACAAAGCAATGTGATTTTTTATTATTATTATTATTATTACAGACATATAATTTATACTACAGAAAAGGATGCTCTTTATGGCCCTTTGTCGTGAAAGAATAAATGCTTTGCACAAAACTGTCTTGAAAATGCTGTTATGTCAAGTTTCATTCACTCTTAGAGTTCCTTTAGATTTCCAGTAAGAAGCCGCTCTAGAGCTATAAATCAATTAATTAGATTTAGTGTCTAAAAGGAATTGTGTGAAAATATCTAATTTTAATGACTCAATGCCTCTGTGGAATTTTTTGTATTAAGTATTCCTAAAGACCTCAGGATAGTTCCATCTCTAAATTCAAAGAAATTTTATGGAGAAGTTTGTTGCTTCCACTTTGAATTTTAACCTTTTAATCATTGCACCTTCAGTAAGAGAGAGGAATTAAAAGTCATGTGAGTTCACAAAAGGCAAAACAAGGACCTATATTTATCAAAAGTTATACAATGGGAAGGTACTTCAGAGAAATGCATGTTATCTGTCACTTTGTTCAAGTTCTGAAAAACTTCCGGTGAAGTTCTGAAAAAACTGAAGAAGGAAAGAAGAGTGAAAAATTCATTTGAAAAGTCGTACTGAAAGAAAAAGACTGTATTATTCTGCTCTCCTAAACTGGTTTGAATTAACAATATGCTTTATTATTGTTGTTAATGGCTTAAAACACAACTGTAAAAATTTGCTTTGACCTGAAATGTCTCCTCACATTCAAAGGCTTAATCCTGGCTATGCCTGAGAAGTCTGAAAACACTGTGATAGATGTAATGAGTGTTTTGTTTATGGGCTTTCAGACTATCCTTATCATTATTTTATAAAAAACATGTTTTTGCATTTAAAGTTAACCCAAATGGTAAAAAAACACTGATAACAAATGCAAATAAGCACTGCTTTTGGAAAACCTGTTCCTTAAAAGATTCGTCTAAATCTGTGCAAGTCAGACAGGGACAAATTTACATTTCCAGGTATGCGTCCAAAAAAACCCCCCAAAACCAACAAAACACCGAACTCCAAATTCTTCTTAAATGTCATTTTTTTAAGAGGTTCTTTGTTGTAGTTTGGGCACACCATTTCAACTGCATTTTGAGTTCCCAGCTGCCTATTCTTTCCCTTCCGATTCTTCCTGCTCCACAGTCTGACATTTTCCTTCTGGCTTTCAGAACTTGTCACATGCAGTCAGGGATCCTGGCTGTCAAAAGCAGAAGGGGACCTCCTTGTAGTGCTAAAGCTGCACAAGCAGAACTGTTAGGAGAGAAACAGTACTGGTAAATTCCCTCCAGCCAAATAAGCAGTGCTTTTGGAGAGGGATTCAAGTGACTGCTCAAATGATAAGCCTGTTCTTAAGAGGTGGCAGCACGCGTGCAGGTACATACATGACTTTGTGCTGCATGGGTAGGGTGGCAAGGTGCATGTCTTACAAAATGGCAGATAATTGTCTTGAACATGAACCAGTCTTCTTGGGAGAGCAGTAAATAACTGATGAATTAAGTTAGAAGGATATGAAACGAGGAAGAGAATCGTATTCACGGTTTTTGCTTGGTTTTTTTTTAAAAGTGGAAGTTTCAAAGTAGTGGACAGGGAGACCCAAGCAGTGACCCACAGAGCCATATCACTTTTACAGTGCTCACAATTAAAACTCCCTGCTAAGAGTCCACAAGACACCAAGAAAAACAAAGTTTAACAGTTAATTGGCACAAAAGGAAATCACATTCATGAGTCACACATGTAAAGAAACTTCATGGAAAATAGAGTACAACCAAGGGAGTCAGTAATAAACACATCACACAAAAAATTACTGCTTTTCTGGCCTATTTTATGGACTTCTAGTGTCTAGCCCCTTACACTCTGTCCTGAAAAAAAGGTAGAGAAACTCAAATCTACAGTTATTCAATTCCACAAATCCTTAGTTTCCACAAACCCATTTCTCCTTTCTCTTGCCTTCTCCACCCACCATATTGAGAAAGATGTCCCAAAGGAAACAAATATCTTTTGAAAACAAAGCTGCTAAGGAATCTTTTCCATTCAACTGTTCCCTAATAAATTTTCTTTTAATCAGCCTCAAATTCTTGTTATCTTTGGCAAATTTCTCTCACCCTCTTGCTTCTCAAGTTTTTTTTCCATCTCAAGGCCCTTCCTTCCCTCTGCACCTCTTTCTTTGCTACTCTCATTCATCCATGGAGTTTCCAAAGTTGTTCTTCAGTCTTCACCCATTACTTCTATTTTCTCTATCATCCTAGGGAACTCTCTCTCACTACCCTTTCAATAAGGAAGCTCTTTCCAAAAGTTCTCATAAAAATCATGTCTCCTACATAGTTTTACCACCCACTTACCTCTCATGTAATGCAGTAATTTGATTTCAAAGGAAAGTATAGATTACCAGTGTTCTTTACACCCTCTTTCCACAGAGTTTATGTAAATTGGGAAAAGTTTTCTCTTCGTGGCTCTGCCCTGAGGTTTTGCTAGAAAGGAGATGGAGAAAAGTTGATTGTAAGAGTTACATTTCAAGTGTCTTGAGGCCCAAGACAGGCTATTTCCTAATCAGACCACCCTCTCACAGCATAACACATATTTGCCTCTGGGTCTTGTATAGCAATTGCAGGACTTCTGGCTGAGGATTCAGGCTGAAATTGCAAACTAAAGATGGGAATGAAAATAAGATAAACTTAATTGCATAAGTTACCACAGAAGCCTTTCAAATGGATATTTTGAGGCATTTGGTTTTCTCAGGAAATATATATTTTTGCATTAAAAAATATTTTCTTAGCAATCAAATTTCCCACTTTAAAAGTTACCTATAGAAAAATTCTGATTATCCATACTAAGTCGCTATTTTACCTAGGTCATCTATGTTCATTTGAGTCCCTGTTGGGGTGAGGGCAGGAGAGGGCTAGAAGAATGTCTTTCAGAGTAGACCAGGACTAACTATCAATTTTTCATCTCCCCTCAGCCTCTTATGTGTACATGTGGTTTCAGGCCTGAACTTTCAGGAGTAACCAGACAAGCATCCTTATGAGGAACAGACAGATATTCTGAATAAGGGCTCAAAAGCATTTTTGAACAGAAAGACTTCAAGAGGTTTTTTTCACTGTGTTTTTTCCTAATTATCACATATATATGACAATAATAAGCTATCATATCAAACAACAGATGACTAAAGATTCTGACTGTACACAGACATATTTGCAATGAACTAGATACATTCATAGGGGTTAAGATGCAGAATTAATAGGAGACATACGCACATGTAATTTCTGTTCTCCTTTCAAGGTAGGTCCTGTACATTCCCACATTATTGGTTGTTTCCTACTGATCGGAAATATCTAAGAAGTTGCCTAACACATCAGTTGGCTGATTTTACCATATCTATTGTGACTTTATTAATTGTTAACATGACAAAAGACATTTTTTCCCTTGGAAAAGATATGTTACAAAATAGGCAGTAATTATGGCTTTTTCCCCTGTCATACCTTTTCAGATTCAGTTTTACGTGGGATCTCCTCTCAGACCTTAACAAACAAAACAGATGCACTAATTATCTCCTTGCATGACTTTGCAAGTTTATATAACATATTTAATTGAATAGTAAAAAGATAAATAAGTATTCTATTATGCTTCCTCATTTAGATTGTCTATTTAGCATCTAGATAAGAGCGTTTTCTTTTTCAGGAAGAGTTCAGGTGCTACACTTACCTAACATACCTAACATCCATTACACTAAATAGTTCTTGCTCCATTTTTTTTCTTGTGTTCCTCCATCCTTTCTCACTACCTGTCATGTCTAAAATCTTCATCCAATATTTTTTCTGTATCCTTTTTCCTCCTTCTTGTCACCTAGCATCCTCTTCATTTCCCAGTTCTTTTTTTTTCTAATGCAAAAACCTAATTTTGTCACTTAACTATCTCATCATTACTAAAAAAAACCACCAAAAAACCAAATATAAATCTTACTGTATTCATTGCACTGCATTATAGTTTATTTCACTGACAAATCTTAGCACTATGGAAAAGCACGCTAATCATAACCTCAGAACAAATTAAAAAAAGAT